TCGCTGCATCGATACTCGCCGAATCATCGATCCACGTTCCCCTGGCTCGTCACGGTCATCCTGGCACGTTCCGAGCGTATCGAAACGCTTAAACGTACTTTGCTTAATTAGAAAACGATTAACGGCGATCGTCTGTAGATTGCAGTTTCGGCCGATATAAAGCGCTATTCCAGTTGCGGTTACGCCGATCGTTGTTACTGTCAGGGATCTCGAACGGGGATCCTTTCCCGTGGCAAATTGCGCGAGATGCCGGTCCACGTGAAGAATTTATACGGTCGTAGTCACCCTTCGTTGAGCAATTTTTCCACTGCGACTCGGTGCCTCGGGTATTTTCGTTTTTGCGAAATTGGTATCGGTCACGGGGTGTTTGCACGTTTGGAAGGAACGAAGGGAAGAGTGGAACCGATGATCCGCAGCGGGAACTTTCCCACTCGTTCCTGTTTCCCTGGATCAACGCAGTTCGTACGATTGTTCCAACTTTTATCCCCGGCTCTTTGAAGAGTCCTCATCGAAACGTGCTGCGCGACGAGACTCGTCCTTTACTACCGGCAAAGGCAAAGAAATACCGTTTCCAGGTGCAATAGCCTCGCATATTTCGCTGTTCCAGCGAGCAGATAAAATCTTAGCCGTAATATGCTGCGGAAAAATGATTTTTTTTCTGGAAAAGAAGGAAAAAAGGGAAACGAGAGAACGGGGCGATGTTGCGCCGCGGAATAAGCACATCCTTAAACCATGGTGCCAGAAAAGTAATTTAATGTACGTTACCCCGGTTTTTCTTTGGCGCGATGTTCAGGTTCCCCTGTATTTTTGCCTGCGCGGTGATTTACACGGTCCGAGCACGGTGTATAATACGCGCAGACATGCAAAATAGATGGAAATGCGGCTGTTTTTGCTCGCGAAGGGCTCTAGCTGCTTGAACCGTTTGTCGCTGCCGAGTTACGAGTCGCGTTCCGTCGAATCCGCTCTTTCATCCCGGAGTAACACCTCCGTCGTTTTGTCTACTCGACGCTTTTTAATCGACGCTACACAGTCGAAGGGTTTCCATCGACGAGAACCGGAAGACGCAGCGACGAGGAAAATTAGCTTCGCGCCGGTCCTCGCCCCATGGCCGCTGGATGTCGGAGCCTTGACTTAATGCGGAATTCTTCGCGTGACTGAATTTATTACGCTCGCCTACAATTATAGGCATTGTTCCGGCACAGCTCGAGCGAGCAGTTTCGCCCGGTCGCGGAAGCGGAGGGAATCGCGGCCGAGGAAGATCGCGCGGAAAGAACGAGGAGCCAACTCGCGAAATCGATACATTCGAAGCCGCATTCGAAGTTCGTATCGCGAGATCTACGCCCGCGATATCAATCGCGCCGATGGAAATTCTCGCTCGCACGCGTGTATTTACGATCGCGATTTAAGGGATGGCCGCACCCCGATCGCCTTCGCGTCTCGAATAAGTAACGTTCCCCGATAGTTTCCGCTTCGACACAGGCGTTGGCCCGATATTGGCTGTGGGATTACGGAAACGGATGGACGGTTTCTAAACCGCGATGTTATCTCTGTCGATTCCCGAATCGAGGCTGTCCGCATACGTTGCCCGGCGAACGAGATCCAGAGCAAAGTCTCCTGCTGCGTTTCCGGAAGCGTAAACTCGGAGAGGAAGGGCGCTCTAAGCTCGTTTATTCTTCGACTTAAAGCGCGTGGCTTCTTTGGCGACTTTGCCAGGAGTTTTTCGAGCTCACGGGGACGGTGTGGATTTTAAAGAAGCGTCAGCCGAGCCGCACAAAGCATCACCCCGGGGGAACGTCTCGTTGGTTTATTTCCGGCTAGTCTCGTCCCTTTCAACGACGAAAAGCTGTTATTTCCGCGACAGTCTGTTCCGCTGCTTGATTGTCGTTTATTAGATTTAAGTCATTTTGGAAACAAGTCTGTGTTGGTGGCCGCGAGGCACGGACCGGCTTGACCCTAAAATTTCTCCAAGGAAATTGCATCAGCGGTGCGGCGGTGACCCTCGAAATTTAATTCGGAATTAAATGCAGCATCTTTACGGGCTTGCCAGAAGCCGGCGTTACGAGCTACGCTTTACGAGAGATGTCTTCGCGGGGGAAACATAATTTTCGAACGTTTAATACCGCCATATTTCTCAAATCGTTTTACGCTTTGTCGTTCGTTTCGCGCCGAGGGTACTAATTCATTCCGGCGTTCCGAGTGCTCTTAATCGTCTCGCGGCTGCTCTCGTTAGTCGACAATAACGGCGCAACGTGTATCGGTCGTGTGTAATTCGTTTTTAAACAACTTATCAATGCACACCGTCGTAGCTGTTCAACCCTCTCGCTACGTGTTCTCCAACGAACCGAGCGGTGCTCGAACCTTTCAGAACTTGGCGCCCGAGTTAATTTGCCTGGCGATGAATATTTGCATGACGCTTCTCGCCCGTTTTCCTTCGTTTGTCTCGTCTCCTCGGCGTTTTTCTTCCTCGACTCGTAGTCGGAAAATTCGCGACGTCCTCGACGAGCGATTAAACGAGTTCCTTAATGCGCCGAATCGTCGTCTTATTACGTTACGAAGAGTTTCGCGCGAATCGTTGCTCGAGATTTCTCGTCGATCTATCCTGCAGCCATAATCTCTTGGGCCCTGGCCTATTTATAAAGCTCGTCTCGATCCTGTATAAATTTTCCCGTGCATCTCATCGAAGACACATTCGCTGTCTTTTATCGGACAAACCTCCGATTTCGTCTCTGCGTTTCTTCGTCGTTTCCTCTCGCGCTTTTCTCTCGCATATAAATCCACGTTTAACGTCAGCTATCCGAATATCCCCGAAGGATCGCGCGTTACATTCAAACGAAAGTCGATCGAGCGAAACCTCGATTCGTCGAGATGGTTTAGCGACGATTATGTCTTCGCAAATGAAACGCCTGGCTAGCCGCGAAAGAATTCGCCTAAACGTCGATGAGACGATAGCCGAGTTGCAGCTAGCGCTCGAAGGAACTCGGACGACTCGAAGAACGAACAGACGACGTGCCACGTAACTTAAAGCGTTGGACAAAGTGCTGTATTTTATTCATTACGCGCCACTAGCCGCGTGAAGCACGGTAAATCTTGGCTGACTTGTCAGCGGATATAACCGGTATTCGCATGGACCTCGCGGCGTTAATTTATCACGGGAATAACGAGTGCATCGCGAGGTAGCATCCCTGTTTCTTCGCAGTCGACGACCCGCGAACTCGTAAACTCCGGTACACAGAAGGGAGTCGGTTTCTTAACTTCTGCGCTCGCTCGCGAACGGGGGTCAGAGGTGCAAACTGTCTGCTAAGTCGCGAAAGAAAATTTCCTTTCACGCTCTCCGGGTACACTGGTTTTTCGCGAAAATAGCCGAGCGGAAAGAAGCGACTCGAGGATTAAGACAAATACAGCCTGCACGGTCCATCGAGTTAATGTTCCTTCCGCACCACCCTTTCCCATCTTTCCTTTCTCGCAGTTTCCAGCCTCCCTCCTCTCACCTTTTCAACCGACCACCCTCTGTTTCACTTACGCTCTCGGTTTTTCCCGTCGCACAGGTATCGCTGTTATTTATCGCTGAACGTTGTCGTCATTTTTCACCGACCATATTACACGAGCTCGGTCCCGGCGTTCCACCCGAACAGCCGGCGTGTTCGTACTTTCGGGGCGGAACGACTTTTTGAAAAATCAGTCGGAGCGTGTCTCGTTTCCGCGCTCGCCACCGGAAAGAGATTGATGGAACCGAACGGCGAGATCGATCGATCCTCGCGATACATCGGTACACGGTTTCGTTTACCGGCCTCGCGAGAGGGGGCTGAAAGCGGACGTTCCGCTTTAACCATACGCGGCCCGTAAGTAGGATTTAATTAAAGGGACAACGGTGCTGGCCGTCAGAACGTAGATTCTTTCCTGTTCGCGCGATTCATTCCTGTCGGCGTTTTCGCGTTCCATTTCCCCTTCCCCGGATCGCCCCGCCAACCTGTGCGGCAACGCGTAATTAAATCGCGTTATTTGCATACCTTCCGCTTTCTCGTGCAACTTTGTCGCCGATTATTCAGTGCGTCCGTTCGCGACGCGGGAACCACTGGCAAACCGGAACTTACAATTTGTCACCCTTGAACGCGTCCTAGCGAAACGAAGATTTTTCTCTCGATCGACACAGGCTTTGTATCATCGTTCGCGTAATGCGTGCTCGCGTCTCACGCTCGTACAGTCAAAGAAATGGAGAAATATTCGACGCTCAATCGTCCGGAAGCGACGTTATCCACGGCCGATTTGCGTTACTCGCTTGGAATAATTTTTGGAAACGATACAGCCGTTCTAAATTTCTACCCCCTGCACGGTTGTTTCGGCGAAATTGATTTTCGATGCAGACCCACGTCGCTCCAAGATTACTCTGTTTCATCCGGTAGCGGTTTAAGGGGACCCTAGAGGCCTCGTTCGTTACTCCCTTCCGACAATTACTAACCATCGGCCGATTCCTCGCGTGCTACCAGCGCGTTTTTCAAACGGGACTGTCGCTTGGACCGAGCCGTTCTTTCCACCGGGTGTCGAGTAATTTTTCCAGCACGCGGAGGGATACCGTGTTTAAATACAACCGAAATTCGCACGCCCGAACTTTGGTAATACGCGTCGCGTAAATTATTCGCAAGAGACGTCGGACTTGGGTGACTCTGCTCGTTTAGTCTTGAATTTCAGACCCGACATTCCATCCGTGTGATCCGACTCGCGCACAACAACGCGAGTAATAAACGCAATGAAACACGTTTGCGAGGTCCTATTAGCGGTTCGTCTCTGTACTCCTTAATTCTCCGCGTCGCGATCCGTGACTCTCGCCCAGCTTTGTGCCAGGGTTGGCAACGGTACCAAACGGGTATTCCGTTACTTCCGTTTTACGAGGGAAGTCGTGAGAGTGGGACTCCCGATATCGATCACGGGGAATGAAATTTCGCAGTAGGAGAATTTCGTGACGGATAAATAGAACGGAGATCCGAGGCAACCCAGGGGCTTACCTTCGAAAGTCTCTGCTCCAGCAGGCGTATATCACCGGATTCATTCCGCTGTTGATCCAGCCGAGCCATGTGACCGCGGCGAACACGATCTTCTCTTGCCATATGCACTGCGAACAAAAGCCTGACCAGAGATTCACGACGAAGAACGGCAACCAACAGATGATGAAGACGCCCATCACGATCCCGAGAGTCTTGGCGGCCTTCTTCTCCTTGGCGAACTTGGCTAGCTTACGCGACAGGGAGAAATTGTTTCCCCGGTGCTGCTTATTGATCCTCGTGGATGGTACCCTGGTTAAACAGTTGTTGTGCATGGCCGTCAGTGGCTCCTCGAGATCCTGCAGATCCTCGGGCGTGCTCGAGGCGGTGCGAAACAGGTGCCTGGCGTCGGTATTTGTCCCGCCTCCTCGATGTATCCTCAGAGTGAGCTCCAATTCACCGGAGGCCATTATAACTTGCTTGGTACCGAGCTTCAGGCTCTTGGTTTGGATCACGGCGGCCCGGTAGATCTTGTAGTAGGTGAACACCATCACGAACAGGGGCAAGTAAAAGCTGATGGTCGACGAGAAGATCAGATAGCCTAGGTGCTCGGTGAACGGACACTTATCCTCTGGCACTTCCTCCGTTCGGACGGCCCTCCACCACGCGATCGCTGGGAAGGAGATCGCGCTCGAGCAGATCCACACGGTGGCGATCAAAATGGCGGCCCGTTTCCTGCTCATCTTACTCGGATAGGTAAACGGATCGGTGATGGCCCAGTAACGATCCAGACTGATCACGCAGAGATTGAGGATCGAGGCGGTGGAGAAGAGGACGTCCAGCGAACGCCAGACGTCGCACCAGTCCGTGGTGAACAGCCAACGATTCTCCAGCACCTCGTAAATCGCGCTAAACGGCATCACGACCAGTCCGACCAGACAGTCCGCGAACGCCAACGATGTGACGAAGTAATTGGTCGCCGTGTGGAGATACCTCTCCCTCACCACTGCCAGTATCACCAGCATGTTACCGAACACGGTGGCTACCGAGAACAGGAACAGGAGTAACGCTAGACCGGCTCTATCGGTGGCAAGATTCCAAAGATCTTCGTAACTGCGATTCTGCGGCGGATAGCTCGCGCTGTAGAAGCTTCTGTTCAGCTGATTACTCGGTACGTTTGCCTCTTCTTCC